GGTGCAAGACGGGGTCAAGAATGGAAAGTGGAACCAGGCTGGAGAAGTTCAGGCTCACTTCACCAGGTAACCCTTAAGACCCTGGATGGACCCCACTCTCTGCATGTTCTAACTTGACCATGGGGGTGGGAGGGAACACCCGTGAGTGCGAAATGCATACAGATGCAGTTGCCCACCGAACAAAGATTTTTTGGGCTGGTGCGGTGGCTCATGCCTGTAATCCCAGCACTTTGGGAGGCCCAGGCAGGTGGATCAGGAGTTCGAGACCAGGCCTAGATAACATGGTGAAACCCTGTCCTTACTAAAAATACAAAAATTTGCATGGTATAGTGACCTGTAATCTCAGCTACCTGGAAGGCTGAATCAGGAGAATCGCTTGAACCTAGGGGGCAGAGGTTGCAGTGAGCCAAGATCTCGCCATTGTACTCTGGCCTGGGCTACAAGAGTGAAACTCTGTCTCAAAAAAAAAAAAAAAGATTTTCTTCTGGGCCTGCAAACTGAGATGCCAGCATCAGGGGCCAGGAGGTGACCTAAGGGAGTGAATGGGCTGCCTGGGGGTGGACTGGGAGGCATGGGCCCTGTCTGAAGAAGGTGGTCATTCTGCCACCGTGGCCTGGGGTTGCCACATCATCTGATTTTTCAAGAAGATCCAAAAATCAGCGTTTGTATGTGAAATCCACCCCCCTTTTTTTTAGCACTCACAACAAAGGCAAACATGTAAAATACACTAGACCAACAAAAATTGTCTATGGGCTGCGTTTTCCAGCACGTGCCCTACCATATGCTGGGCTCTGAATTAGACAATGCTGATGCAGTGTGGACAAGACAGACCTGCTTCCTGTCTCCCGGAGCTGAGTCTAGATGTGGAGACAAACTCTCGCTGCACATGTAGACACACGCCACTACCTCCAAGCCACCAAGCCACCAACCAATCAAATTCAGCTCTCTACTACATGCCAGCTCAGGTCAGCTCAAAAAGGGAGGTGGAGGCAGAAAACTGCTCCGGAGCCATCCTAGAGTGGGGCTTTTCAGGTCAGGGGAAGAGCACGTGATGGAGAGAGACAATTAGAGGACACTGAGGAGACAGGTTAGGAGAGGTGGTTTAGGGCCAGGCTGTGGGAGCTATGATTGTCTGGACTCCGCAACTTGATTCTAAACTCAACGGGGAGCTACTGCAGGTTAGTGAGGAGGGGAGGTCTTGCTCCTTGTCCTCTTCTGGGCTCATCATGGTTTTCCCTGGTCACAGTGACTCAAAGCTCTGCTCTTCAACCTCTGGTTCCACTGCCTTGCCTGTGGGATGTGTGACAAAGCCCTGGGCTTCTGCGAACCCCCACTGAGGGGAAATGAACTTTTTTGGTAATGGATACAGCAAACCTGGATGTTTCTCCTGCCCAACTGCGATCTCCATCCGCCTTTCCAGCTGCAGAGAGGCTCACTCTCTGTCATTATCGCTGGGAAGTGCCACACGCTTGCCCAAGGTCACCCAGTCTTCAGGGCACCTGGTTCCCCTGCAGTCTGTGCTGAAGGTAGCTGCCTCAACTGTCCTGAAATTGGCAGGAGGGGCTGCCAGAGGTCTGCACACACCAAGCGCCCCCCCACCCCCTTGTCCTGCTGGTCACATCCTCGCCCTTGGGTCAGTGCCAGCAGCAGGCGGAGGTGGAGGCACTTGGTGCTGGGAAGGAGGGAGATGAGGAGTCAGCCACTCAGGCTCAGCCCTCCCAAGGCTGCAACAGGGCAGGGATCAGGTACTTCAGGTGTGGGGTCAAGAATCGGTCAGCTAGACCTGGCCAGGTCCACCTCAACAGCCCCATAGGACATGCCCAGGGGTCTGATGATCAGGAGACATCAGGAAAGGAGATGGGAATGAAGTGGGGAAAAGGACCCTGACTCTAATGTGAGGTCTATCACAGATGCTGGTAAAAGATTTGTTGAATGAATAAATGAAGGAACTACTGGCAGGGCTAGCTGTACCCTGGGTCTCGCCTTACTGAGCCTCAGTTTGTGCACCTATCAAATGGGTCCAGCATCACTGCCTGCCAGCAGAAAGCTCAGAGAAGAGATTGGGGGAACCCCTGGCAGCCCAGAGTGTGTTCCTTCCATGCAGTCCAGCCCCTTCTCAGGATCTCTGATTCAGGATTTCAGGGTACAATGTCCGCCAGGGCCTCTCGGCTTCCCCATATGCGGTAGAGCCTGGGGTTCAGGACCTCACTGAGAGCCAGGCTGGGATACGGACATGTATACCACCTGGAGAGCCACAGTGAGACCCTGGAATTGGCCCTTGGTTGTCTGGGACACATGGAGCCAACCCTAGGTTTAATCTGGGTGTTTTCCAGGTTAGGAGGGGAAGGGAAGGACTTGGGTTTCCTGTCCCTGGGACAAATGGGGACATAACGGTGCCCTGACCTGAAATGGCTTCTTCATCTAGACTACCTCTCCTTTCCAGAAACTAGCACCTCACTTTGGGGGATGCTTACTCCCTCCTTGTCCCACAGGGACACAAAGTATAGTCTAGGTGAAGACCCCAGTGGGGCCTGGGGTCGGGCAGTGGAGTCACAGGGAAGATGAGATTCTCATTCATTCCCTCAAACACACCCCTTCCCGGCGCTCTCACAGACAAAGACACACACCCAAAGCCCAGGATATCACCTAGGGCCACATAAGGCGGTCTCCCTCACCTGTGGGCACCCTCAAATTTTCCCCTTGGGGGGTAGACTTCACTAGAAGCTCAGCTTGGCCATGGGGGAGGGGTATATACACTCCTAGGACCTGGGGTCCAACCTCCAGGCTCGCAGTTTTTGGGGGGACTCTCTGCCCTCTTCCCACCTCTTCATGGCACAAAGGACTCCACCACCACTCCCCCGTGGGGCTGGGGAGCTGCGATCAAGTCTCAAGGCTAGGGAGTGGGGTGGGGGAAGGGAGAGGAGGAGGGGGCAGCTCCTCCAAGCGAGACACAAAGAGACGTCCTTCAGCCTCGGCTCCATGGCGACGCTGGGGAGCGGGGAGCGTGCAACCCGATACTTCCTTCCCCACCTGCAGGGCTACGGGGACCTCGGTGGCCACTCACCTGCCGCCCCACACCTGGGCCCTGCTTACCTGGGCTGGGGCCGCGGGGATGCCGCGGCAGGGGGCCTGGGCGCCGTCGCGGTCTTCGTTCGCCCGGCCCCGGGGGCTCAGGGCGCCACGACCATGAACCAGGGTGCGAGCGGTGCCGCCAGCGGCTCAGTTGCCCCAGTCCTGGAGCTTTGCGGGGCGTCCCCGAGGCTTCTTGCTGGTGAGGGTGTCTCTTGCTGTCTCTGGCTGCCTAGATTTGGGATTTCTGTGTACCGGAGTTGGGGGGATTGGGATCCCTTGATCTAGGGGCGTTCAGAGCTGGGTCTTCTTATCTTGAGGTGTGGAGTTGTAATGACCGGATATTGGGAGGGGGTTTCCGCAATCTCGGCCTGGGGGGCACTGCGTTCTAGGTCTTGGGGGGGCCCAAACTGAGGAGGGGGGAGTCCTCGCGATGCCGTAGGGGGCTCGCTGTCTTCTAAACACCGAGGAAGTCTCCGCTTTCCCCAAAGGGGAGTCGCTCCGTGTCGGATCCAGGAGGGCCCCCCTCTTTCCCGAGGTTCGCCGGATCCTGGATGTGGAGGGGGGCTCGCCGCGCTCCTCGGCTACGGGGGCTTGCTGGGTCCCGGCCACCGGCGGCGGCTGGGAAGAAGCCCCTCAGCCGCTGGGGGGCTCGGTCGCCGCCGCTACGAGCAGCCCGGCCCTGCGCTCCCGGCCCCCGGCCTGGCCCGGGCTCCGGCTGCGGCTCCGGCTCGCGCTCCGCCTGGTGCTCGGGCCCCGGCCCCGGCGCCCGCCCGGGCTGCGCTCCATCGCGGCATCGCGGCTCCGCCCTCCAGCCCGCGCGCACCTGCCCGCCCGGCCCGCGGCTCCGCCCTCCGGCTCGCGCGCCGCCGCCCGCCCCTTTGTCCGCCCCGCTCGGCGCGCGCCCTCGCGCCCTCGCGCTCACCCGCCGCGCGCCGCGGGGCGCAGATTCTCCCGGCGCGGCGCCCCCACCCCCTTCCGGCTTCGCTGGGTCCTAGCGCCGGTGGCTCCCCAGCGGGCGCCCACCTCCCCCCTGCCCCCCGCCTTTTCTAGGTCAGAGCCCCCGAGGGGGCGAGAACGAGGTTACAGAGGACTCGGGGGAGTCTGAGAGGGTCACCTGGTCCAGCTTCCTGGCCCCTGCGGGACCAGACTGCCCCAGACTGTCCCGGTCTGTGCTTGTGGGGCGGAGCCTGTGTCTGTTTCAAGGAGGGAAAACAAGTCCAGGTTCTGCATTCGGATATGCATTCACTCATCCATGCGTCCGTCTGTTCCTCCGCCTGCCTGCCTGCGCATCCATCCATCCATCCATGCATCCTATTTCCAGCGAGACCTCAGAGAACCCACAGTTTTCTTAGGGAAAAGGTCATAAACTTGGTCCGGGGGAGGGGGGTGCCCTATCCAACTGAGGTCGCCTTTGCGATCCCTGCTGCAAATAGGCAGTAACTAGTCCAGGAGTGCACCTGGGAGGAACTGCTCGCCAGATAGAAGGGAAGAATAGGAGATTCTAGGCAGAGGTAGCAGCAGGTGTAAAGGATGTTGCATTGTCTCTTTGATAACCGGAAATTGGTGGTGGCCTGGGTGAAGTGGGTGGATGAGGACAGAGATGAGACTGGGACAGCTTGTCCTTCCAGGCCCTATTCTTTCTCCTCCCTGCAGCTCACCCTTTCCCTAGTGAGAAAGCCCCCAAATAGGACGCCTTCTCTGTTTCTTCCAAGTTTTTGATCAGGCTGTTTTCTCAACCTATCGTAATCCTTTCAACCACTTCGACTGTTTCCAGAGCTTTCGGAGCCGGGGATTGCAAACTCAAGTACCTACAGGCACAGACATGAGCCACTGGGGTCGAGTGTAAAATGATAGGGAGGGTGGAGAAGAGGGGAACTGGAGATGTCGTGGACTGCGCGTGGGTGGATGATATTCAAAGAGAAGCAGGAAATCCATATCCTAACATGAAATTTTCCAACTTTTAAATGTTTGAAACGAATTCCCCAAATTCGGAAATATTGAATGGGCCAAATGAAACACACTTTGGAGACAAATCTGGTCCCAGGCCATAGGTTGGCAGCCCTTACCATTGAAAATATTGTTTCAGTTCTTAACTGGTTTGCTTCCTGCCTCTGTCTAGATTGTTTATCCTTTTCTTTCTTTCTTTCTTTTTAAAGACGGAGTCTCGCTCTCCTGCCCAGGCTGGAGTGCAATGGCTAGATCTTGGATCACTGCAACCTCTGCCTCCTGGGTTCAAGTGATTCTGCTGGCTCAGCCTCGCGAGTAGCTGGGACTACAGGTGTGTGCCATCATACCCAGCTAATTTTTGTATTTTTAGTAGAGACAGGGTTTCACCATGTTGGCCAGGATGGTCTCAAACTCCTGACATGAAGTGATCTGCCCATCTCCACCTCCCCAAGTGCTAGGATTACAGGTGTGAGCCACTGAGCCTGGCAGTTGTCTTTTTTCTAGAATCGAAGTCCTTTGGGATCATCAGCTCTGTAGAATACAAATGGGGTTGGGTTACTGTCTTACATAAAACTGCCATGGACTTCCTGTGTACCGTCAGGGTGAAGTCTAACCTGATCCTGGCGTTCAAAACCCTTAACCTTTAGAGCCTGATCTCCATTCCCCTACAGAGGACCTTTCTTCTCCATTCAGCCGTGACCTCAGCCACGCTATTCTAGGACATCTGCCTCTCTCTCTCTCTCTCTTTTTTTTTTTTTTAGACAAGGTCTCACTTTGTCACCAAAGTTGGAGTGCAGTGGTGTCATCATGGCTCACTATAACCTTGACCTCCTGGCATCAAGTGATCCTCCTGCCTCAGCCTCCTAACTAGGACTACAGGTGTGCACCACCATACTCAGCTAATTTTTGTGTTTTTTGTAGAGATGGGGTTTTACCATGTTGCTCAGGCTGATCTCCAACTCCTGAGCTCAAGCCGTCCACCCACCTCAGCCTCCCAAAGTGCTGGGATGGCAGATGTGAGCTACCGCTGCGGCCCTGACATCTGCCTTTTCTTTTTTTTGTTGTTTTTTGAGATGGAGTTTGGCTCTTAATGCCCAGGCTGGAGTGCAATGGTACCATCTCAGATCACTGTAGCCTTTGCCTCCTGGGTTCAAGTGATTCTCCTGCCTTAGCCTCCCGAGTAGCTGAGATTACAGGCATGCACCATCACACCCAGCTGGTTTTTGTATTTTTAGTAGAGATGGGGATGGGGTTTCACCATTTGGCCAGGCTAGTCTTGAACTCCTGACCTCAGGACTGGCCTCAGCCTCCCAAAGTACTGGGATTATAGGCATGAGCCACCACATCCAGCCTGACATCTGCTTTTGATATCCTCATGCTTTGTCCTCTAGACAGGTTTCCTCTGTCTAGAAGACCTTTCCCTTCTTCCTTGTTTTCCAGACAAGTACTCTTCTAAGAGAACTCCTCTGCATCTTCCCTTCCTCTCCCACACTCCTTGTCCTGCCAATATGGAGGAGTTTCAGATTTCACCCTAACTTTGTTCTAATCCTCTCCAAGGCCATAGTGCCGTAAATAACCCAATAGAGGGATTTAAGTTATTGGGTGTGCAGAAGAGGGGACTGGAGAGGGAGAAAGCAGGAAGCACACATCTTCCTGTGTCTAAAAGCTGAGTTTCAGGACATTAGCACTTAGAGAGCACTTTCCTCATTTTACAGAGGAGGAAAGAGATCTAGTGAGGTGAGGAGTCGAATCAAGCCTTGCAGTGCCCCTAGTCATGGTTATCAAGGGTTGCCCAGTTTAGGGTCACCTTCTGCAGAAACTGCCCCTGATTCCTCATCTGGGGCATTAATTACCCATAGTGCAGTTAGTAAAGGTTTGCCGGGATGCATTGTGGGTAATCAAGTCCCCGCTCCAGACTCCCTCTTGGCTCTACAGGGTGGGAAGTCCTGGTCCCCAAAGAGGGTACACTCTAGCCAGGGGACACAGCATGGGGCCCATTAAATTTAAGCTATGGCCACTGCCAGGAAACTTTGGACTCCATGTGTTATGGGACCAGCAGGTGAGAAGAGAAGGCACCATCATGGCTGGACTAACTGACCCTGGTCAGCAGAGAGGGCAGGGCTGCTTTTACAGCGGGGGGACAAGGAGGAATATGTGGGATTCCAGCGATCTGTTGTTTACAATAACCAATAATTTAGGTCCCTCAGGACCAAAGGGTTGGGTTACATCACCAGGTAACCCATCAAGGCCTGCCAAGCTGACAGTGGAGAGTGTGAATAATTTTATTTTACTTTTTTTTTTGAGATGGAGTCTCTGTTGCCCAGGCTGGAGTGCAGTGGCACTATCTCAGCTCACTATAACCTCTGCCTCCTGGGTTCAAGTGATTCTCCTGCCTCAGCCTCCAGCGCAGCTGGCGCACACCACCATGCTCAGCTGATTTCTGTATTTTTAATAGAGATGGGGTTTCACCGTATTGGCTAGGCTGGTCTCGAACTCTTGACCTCGTGATCCACCCAGCTGTGGATAATTTAGAATAGATAGTGAAGAAAGAAAGAAAGAACATTTGCTGGTTATGGCCTCTGGATAACTGCAGCAAGTGGGCGGGGGCTCTAGCATGTTCTACTAATCTCTCTCTTCAAAGTTTTCCCATAGAAAGAGGCTCACAGGGGACCAGGAGTCCGACTGTAGGATAAGCTCGGGCCCCACGTGTTCCCGGTGCTCGCTGGCCAGAGCCCCCGGCTTCCCAGGGCCGTGGGACCGTGGCGGCACCCGCACACAACCTACTTCCCGAGCGGAGCCATGTCTGGTAACGGCAACGCGACTGCAGCAGCGGAAGAAAACAGCCCAAAGATGAGAGTGATTCGTGTGGTTACCCGCAAGAGCCAGCTTGCTCGCATACAGACGGACAGTGTGGTGGCAACACTGAAAGCCTTGTACCCTGGCCTGCAGTTTGAAATCATTGCTATGTCCACCACAGGGGACAAGATCCTTGATACTGCACTCTCTAAGATTGGAGAGAAGAGCTTGTTTACCAAGGAGCTTGAACATGCCCTGGAGAGGAATGAAGTGGACCTGGTTGTTCACTCCCTGAAGGACCTGCCCACTGTGCTTCCTCCTGGCTTCACCATAGGAGCCATCTGCAAGCGGGAAAACCCCCATGATGCTGTTGTCTTTCACCCAAAATTTGTTGGGAAGACCCTAGAAACTTTGCCAGAAAAGAGTGTGGTGGGAACCAGCTCCCTGCGGAGAGCGGCCCAGCTGCAGAGAAAGTTCCCACATCTGGAGTTCAGGAGCATTCGGGGAAACCTCAACACCCGGCTTCGGAAGCTGGACGAGCAGCAGGAGTTTAGTGCGATCATCCTGGCAACAGCTGGCCTGCAGCGCATGGGCTGGCACAACCGGGTGGGGCAGATCCTGCACCCTGAGGAATGCATGTATGCTGTGGGCCAGGGGGCCTTGGGTGTGGAAGTCCGAGCCAAGGACCAGGACATCTTGGATATGGTGGGTGTGCTGCATGATCCTGAAACTCTGCTTCGCTGCATCGCTGAAAGGGCCTTCCTGAGGCACCTGGAAGGAGGCTGGCTGCAGTGTGCCAGTAGCTGTGCATACAGCTATGAAGGATGGGCAACTGTACCTGACTGGAGGAGTCTGGAGTCTAGATGGCTCAGATAGCATACAGGACACCATGCAGGCTACAATCCATGTCCCTGCCCAGCACGAAGATGGCCCTGAGGATGACCCACAGCTGGTAGGCATCACTGCTCGGAACATTCCGTGAGGACCCCAGTTGGCTGCCCAGAACTTGGGCATCAGCCTGGCCAACTTGTTGCTGAGAAAAGGAGCCAAAAACATCCTGGATATTGCACGGCAGCTTAATGATGCCCATTAACTGGTCTGTGGGGCAGATGCCTGGGTTGCTGCTGTCCAGTGCCCATTCTCATGCTAGCTGGGGAGCAATTACCCCAGGAGACTGAACAGCAGGGTCCAAGCCTTCCAGGGATTTGCCTCACTATGAGGCCCTGATTGATGACTGCCTTGCCTCCTCAGTATGTGAGGGCTTCATCTCTTTAGAGAAATCCAAGCCACAGCCTTTGAATGTAACCAGTTCTACTAATAAACCGCTCTGAAGGTGAAAAAAAAAAAGAGGCTCACAGGATCCATGGTAGAGCTGAGCAGTGCAAGGGATGAATGTGGCAGCCCTGAAAATGTGTCACTCAGACCTCTGACTTCAGGAAAAGTCATTGACCAAGGGCAGCAGCTGTGAAACCCATCTGTGGTTCACACAGGAGGCTCCGGTTTGCTTCCCACGAGCAGATCCCAGCCAAAGAATGAAGGTGTATCTGCTTGTGGAGACACAGGACTCCTCGAATGGGCAGCTTTGGATCAAGGACTCCCCCTTGACTTTGTAGAAACTTTCTCACTGCGCTGCAGTCGAAGAGTCTTCCTATCCCATCGTCCTTCCTTCTGTCTCTCTTTTCCACGTGTTAGATCTAGGACAGTCTAATGATCTTCCCAGCCTCCTCTTCCTCCCTCTCTCTTGTTCCCTCCAAAGGGTTTTCCTCAATCAATCGTTTGTACATCTGGCCCACCTTGCCTGCTTCTCAAAGGATGGAACGGACACAACACATCTGAAGAGACAAACAGAAGTGGTGACTTTGGGAGGCCAAGATGGGTGGATCATGGATCACCTGAGGTCAGGAGTTCAAGACCAGCCTGGGCTAACATGATGAAACCTCATCTCTACTAAAAATACAAAAATTAGCTGGGCCTGGTGGTGGGAACCTGTAATCCCAGCTACTCGGGAAGCTGAGGCACAAGAATTGCTTGAACCAGAGAGGCAGAGGTTGCAGTGAGCCAAGATTGCAACATTGCACTCCAGTCTGAGTGACGGAGTGAAACTCTCTCAAAAAAAAAAAAAAAAAAAGTGCCAGCCTGTAATGCTGCAGTCCTTTGTCCTTGACACCTAGGGATAAGCCATTCCTGCCAGCTCAAAAGGGCCACCTCTCCACAGAGGGTCTTGGTGGATAGTGGAACAGAAAGATAAAACTTGGCCATGTTTGGTTCGATTCAGTCACTTCAGAGAACAAAAAAGAAAGAAAGAAAGAAAAACTTGGCCATGATTTTCTTTTCTTTTCTTTTCTTTTTGAGATTCAGTCTGTTCTGTCACCCAGGCTGAAGTGCAATGGCACAATCTCCGCTCACTGCAACCTCTGCCTCTCAGGTTCAAGTGATTCTCCGGCCTCAGCCTCCCAAGTAGGTGGGATTACAGGCACCCACCAGCATACCCATCTAATTTTTTTTTTTTTTTTTTTTTAAATAATATAGACAGAGTTTCACCATGTTGGACAGGCTGGTCTCAAACTCCTGACCTGGTGATCTGCCCACCTTGGCCTCCCAAAGTGCTGGGACGACAGGTGTGAGCCACTGTGCCCGGTCTGTCTTCTTTTCTAATTTAATTAAATTTATTTTGTATTTATTTTGAGATGGAGTCTCACTCTTTTTTTGCGGGGGTGGGGTGGGGGGTTCAAGGAGTCTCACTCTTGTCCCCCAGGCTGGAGTGCAATGGTACAATCTCAGCTCACTGCAACCTTCGCCTCCCAGCTTCAAGCAATTCTCCTGCCTCAGCCTCCTGAGTAGCTAGGACTATGGGTGCCTGCCACCAAGCCCAGCTAATAAGAGACAGGGTTTTGCCATGTTGACCAGGCTAGTCTTGAACTCCTGACCTCAGGTGATCTGCTGGCCCCAGCCTCACAAAGTGCTGGTATTACAGGCATGAGCCACCGCACCTGGCCTAATTTTATTTTTGAGACAGGGTCTTGCTCTGTGGCCCAGGCTGGAATGCAGTGGCACGATCATAACTCACTGGAGCCTCGAACTCCTGGGCTCAAGCAGTTCTCCTGTCTCGGCCTCCCACAATGTTGGGATTACAGGTGTGAGCCACTGTGCCCTGCCTGGCCGTGGTTTTCTTAGCAACACAGAGGAAACACTGGAAAACAGGGATCTCCGTTCAGATTTCCTCTGCTCAGAGCCCACAACCTCTTCGATAACGACACCTCTTTGTCCTCGGCAGTCGCTCCCTGTGCAAGGAGACGCTTGAGTCCAAGGACCCCAGGGACTTTTGATGATTATGCCCCTTCCTTAGGCTGCATTTTATAGTCACTGATGTGTCAGAAGCTTCTGTTGTTTTGGGAGGGAACAGGGAAAGAACTTCAAGAGTCTTTTCCTGTCCTCTAGAATCTATACATTGTAATGTTTCAAACTGTATGAGTTTGGGTAGCTCTACTAGTTGCACTGAAAGTCATCTATTAATAGTATTGGCCATATATTTAATTTTTTAAAAATAGAGACAGGGTCTTGCTATGTTGCCCAGGCTGGTCTTGAACGCCTGGGCTCAAACAATCCTCCCTCCTGAGCCTCCCAAAGTGCTGGGATTACAGGTGTGAGCCACTGAGTCCAGCTGTTCATACCAACAGACTCCATGCTTTGGGAAACTGATGGCATTTGGGGATTTCCCAGCATGTCCTGTGATGCTCTTAACTCCTCGTGTCTCCAGTCATGAGAGAAAAAAGGCAATCCTGGCTTGTTGGTCAGCATTTATGTTTTTTTTTTTTTTTCCACAGAGTCTCACCCTGTCATGCAGGCTGGAGTGCAGTGGTGTGATCTTGGCTCACTGCAACCTCCATCTCCCAGGTTCAGGCAATTCTTCTGCCTCAGCCTCCCAATTAGCTGAAATTACAGACATGTGCCACCATGCCCGGATAATTTTCGTATTTTTAGAAGAGATAGTGTTTCACCATGTTGGCCAGGCTGGTCTCAAAATCCTGACCTCAAGTGATCCACCAGCCCTGGCCTCCCAATGTGCTGGGATTGCAGGCATGAGCCACTGCGATTGGCCTGTGATTTTTTTTTTTTTTTGAGAAGGGGTCTCGCTATGTGGCCCAGGTTGGTTTTGAACTCCTGATCTCAAGAGATCCTCCCGCCTCCGCCTCCTGAGTAGCTGGGACTCCAAGTGTGAGCCACTGTGCCAGGCACAATGGTCTTTTGTAAAGGAGAACCTCTTCCCCAGGACCACTGGAAGACACAGGCCAAATTATTGCTGATAGGAAAACCAAGGGGTCCGCCGGAACTCAAGATGGATCAGATGGAAGATGGCACAAGTGCTCGGGTCGTGTAGCACTGGAGGTGATTGATGATGGATCCTGGAATCTCTCCATCCCTTTTTGGAGTGTACATTCTGCAGTGAGAAACAGTGTCCCAGCATGAGCACTGATGAGCTCTCCACTGCCACGCCGACATGCAGCTCTGTGGCCACGGCCAGCAGGAAGCCGCAGATGAAGGAAAACAGTATGATGGTGCCCAGGGAAAGAACCTGCTTCTTTGTGACATTGCAGAGCTGCTGAGCCGCTTGAACTTGGAGCCACTTTGAGTTGGGAATTCTGGCTTTTTTGCAGCTGAAAGTGTGCCAACTTCATGTGAGAACAGCTAGCTGTAGGTCCGCATGAGGCCGTTCTTGCCAACACTTTGGAAGGCTGAGACAGGAGGATCCGCTTGAGCCCAGGAGTGCGACGCCAGCCTGGGCAACAGTGGGACGCTGTCTCTACAGAAAATAAAAGTAATGAGAAGAACAACCCTAAAATCATGAGAGCGGTTGTCTCTGAGGATGGTGGGGGGAGTGTAATAGGAATTCATCTCTATCTTTCATGCTTTGTCTTTTTTTTTTTTTTTTTTTTTTTTGAGACGGAGTCTTGCTCTGTAGCCCAGGCTAGAATTCAATGGCATGATCTTGGCTCATTGCAATATCTAACTCCCAGGTCCCGGTTCAAGCAATTCTCCTACCTCAGTCTCCCAAGTAGCTGGGATTATAGGTACGAGCCACCATACCCAGCTGATTTTTATATTTTTTAGTAGAGATGGAGTTTCACCATGTTGGCGAGTCTGGTCTTGAACTCCTGACCTCGTGATCTGTCCGCCTTGGCCTCCCAGAGTGCTGGGATTATAGGCGTGAGCCACTGCACCTGGCTGCTTTGTCTTTTTTAAAGTTAAAAATATCTGACACCAGGGCCAGGAGGACACTTGGGAGGCTGAGGAGGAGAATTACTTGAGGCCAGGAGTTCCAGATTAGCCCGGCCAACATGGTAAGACCTCTGTCTCTACAATACAAAATATAGCCAGATATGGTGGCACACACCCGAGTTCCAGCTACTCTCTAGGCTGAGGCAGGAGGATTACTGAGGCTCATGAAGTCGGGGCTGCAGTGAGCTATAATTGTGGCACTGCACTCCAGCCTGGGCAACAAAGTGAGACCCCATCTCTAAAAAGAAAAAAAATCTGACACGAATGTGATAAAACGTTGACATTGTTTCTATGATGGCTGCAGGTACGCACAGGTTTGTAGTTTTGTGTAAATTCTTTCACTTTTTCCAAAATAATTAAAAACGATTCCATGGAAGTGTTTTAAAACGGGGTCTTAAAAAGAGGGAAGAGAAAAAGAAGAAGGAAAAAGAACTTTTTGACTATGTGATTCTGTTTTCTTAAACTCCTGACTTCAACTGGTCCACCCGCCGTGGCCTCCAGAAGTGCTGGGATTACAGGCATGAGCCACTGTGCCCGGCTTGACTATTTGTGTTTTCTAAAGCCTGGTCTGAGGACACTCGGAAATGCCCTCCTCTCTCATACTCTGAGAAGCACTAGGATTAGGCAGCAAGTTTGGCTCCCTGATCCTTGCCACCCTGATCTCCTGCTCACGACGGCTCTGGGTGCTGGGCTTCTTAGGGCTGAGACAAGGCCATTGCCCCTGGAAGCTGTGCAGCAAGAGTCTGATGGGTCCCGACCCCGCCCATGCCCATGGGAATGTGTGCTGGGGGAGCAGGGACATCCCCTGGAACTTCCAGAACGGAGACAGGATTCTCAGAGCTGGCTGGGCCCCAGCTCCTTCACAGGCATGGGTCGCCAATGCCAGCCCCAGGAACTGTAGACATTTGGCAGGAAACAAGCGCTGTCTGGAACACATCCCTAGGGGGCTGGCTTTAATGATGTCCTAGTTTGGGTTTCTCAGAAACAGATTCTAGAGCAAGTAGTTTGTTTGGTCGGTGATCCCAGGTAGCGGAGTAGTGATGGCCGAGGTGGTGAGGGTTGGGGGGCGAGACAGGAAGACAGTGGCAAGCGATGTATTACCAACTCAGTCACCACCCTGGGCAACTGGAGGTGAACCCCACCGGGAAACTCACAGAGACAGCATACAACACACTGCTCAGGGTTATTGCATCCAAAGGCAAAGGAGGTGGGGTATTGACACTCCACCCATCAGTCCTTAGGGAGAGCTGCTGGGGCAGCGGGGAGAAGGGGAGGCACTGCTCTGGATGCCAGCAGAGCAGGCTTGGGCCAGAGAAGGCCCTGGGGAAAAGAGATGAGGGTGCTGGCAGCTCAGGGTGGGGAAGGGGTGGGGAAATGATGTGTCTGCCACCAATTTCTAGCACTTAGAACAGTGCCTGTCTGGGTCTGCCATGATGCCCATGTATTCCTCTGTTACACAGCATCTGACCTCCACCTGGTAACAGAACCCCAGTTTCCTCTGGGAACCTACATTCTCTGATACATCCTTCCCTCCCCATTCGGGGTTCTGATGGTGGCGTTCACCTGTTGGACTCTAGGGATAGACTTGGGACCCCCCTTTGATCAGTGTCTAACATCCCCATGGCCTTAGTGATCGTTTTGGAGATTGGTCTGTTCCCTGAGCCAGGCTAGTAGGATAGAAGCCGTCTTTCTACAGTGCTGAAAAGGATGTAAGCCTGGAGTTGCCACGAGCAGGGGGAACCCCTTAGAGGAGGAGGCCAACACAGCAGACAGCAGAGCCAAGGAAGGTAAAGAGAGAATCCTTGTTCTCATTTGATCCCCTGGATCTAGCCATGCCTGAAACCGTGACCTTGTCGGTTGCGTGACCCAATCAAGTCCTCACTATGCTTAAGTCGGTTGTACTTGGGTCTCTGTCACTTACAACCCCAAATTCTTTACATTATGTGTAAATGTGGGTTTCTAAAAGTTTTTTGTTTTTGACGGAAGCTTGCTGTCTCCAAGGCTAGAGGGCAGTGGCAGAATCTTGACCTGCAACCTCTACTTTCCAAGTTCGAGTGATTCTCATGTCTCAGCCTCCCAAGTAGCTGGAATTACAGGCACACACCACCACGCCTGGTGGTGGCTCACGCCTGTAATCCCAGCACTTTGGGAGGCTGAGGCGGGAGGATCACCTGAGGTCAGGAGTTCGAGACCAGCCTGGCCAACATGGCCAAACTGTGTCTCTACTAAAAATACAAAACTTAGCTGGGCATGGTGGTAGGTGCCTATAATCCCAGCTACTTGGGGGGCTGAGGCAGGAGAATTGCTTGAACCCAGGGGCGGGCAGAGGTTGCACTGAGGTGAGATCGTGACATTTAACTCCAACCTGAGTGAAAGAGAGTGAAATTCTGTCTAAAAAAAAAAAAAAGT